GTGTACTGTTCCTCAGGAGTGTAATGTCCCAAGTTGTGGATTGCTCGAGTGTCTCATATTCTGTTACCTGTGGTGCGTCTCCATAGTGAACTGGTTCTGACGCTGCAACGTGTATAGCAGGTTGTTCCCGCGTTGAGTCAAAGTATGGAGACTTAGCTGGGGTCTTGCGACAAGCCTTCTTGCCCTCTTTGAGGAACGCATTGTCTGTGTTTTCCACTAGCATCGGGTCTTTTTCTAGTAAAGACAAGAACTTTGGAAACCACGAGGCATTGGGGTAGTATGGTACACATATCGTGATGCTGGTTGCCTCTTCAATGATTTTGTCAAGGACATCAGGTATGAGTTCCAATGGTGGATTCGCCCATGTATTCACTTCCTGCGCCCACTTTTGTTGTAGCGCATTCTGTTCTTCAGTGTAGTATTTATCTGTGTGCGCATTGGGTGCCGATGCAAACAGATCTACTGTGAAATTCCCAAACCTTCGTTCTGCTTCTTGATAGAATATGGGATGTAATATTCAGTCTATCGCCGATATGGTTATGGGCATGTTCGTTTCCAAGGTGGTGTACTCTTGGCTATTATGTGTTGCCTCATTCGGATTTTGTATTACTTTTGACTCTTTAATACTAAAAGTATCTTCATGGAGACGTGACAACATATCTGCCATCTGGTTGTCCTCGCCTGGGACATGTATGATACAGAAGTGGTGGTGGAACGTTTTCGCTATCCATTTGGCTAGCATTGGGTGTAACGTCTGTTGACTGTTCATTTGCGTGAGCGCTTTGTGATCTGTCCACAATGTTATGTCCCCCCCTTTGATGTATTCTGAGAAATGTTCCAGGCTGTATACCAGTGCTAGTAGCTCTTTGGTGTTTGTGCCATAGTGTTGTTGTGCTGGATTCAAACCTTTTGAAAAGTAGATAATGCCTCTTCTGACTCCATCGATGACTTGAAATAAACACCCTCCTATGCCATAGTCACTAACATCGTTCATAATTTGAAACGGTACCCCGTCAACCGGGTATGCTAGCGTCGCTGAACAGGCGATGGCTTCTTTGAGTTCTTCCCATTTATTTATCAGTTCCGGTGTCCATAGCATGGATAAGTTTTGGTTCATTTTTCCTTTCATTAGGTTCCGAAAGTGTTTCGCTCTATGGGCAAAGTTGGGGACATGGTCTCGCATGTAATTTGCTAGTCCCACTGCTTTGTGCAGATCTCTTTTTGTTTTGGGCAGTGGCCAATCCATCATTCTTTTCTGTTTCTCAGGGTCTGCTTTGAGTCCCTGTGTGGTGACTTTCACCCCAAGAATCTTGACCACTTTGTCCGCGAAGGCAAACTTGTGATTGAGTCGGAAGTTTGCGCCATTTAGTCGCTTGATTACTTCACGAACTGTCTTGCGGTGTTCTTCTTCTGTAAGACTCACAATGACTATGTCATCTGCATACACTTGTACCCCTTAGATTCGTCATGACTCTCTGGAATTGTGCTGTGAGTGAGTGTAGTCCAAACGGCGCGGACTTGAATGAGTATTGCGCTCCTCTCCACGAGAAAGTGAAGAAGTGTTGGCTTGCTTCGTCTACAAGGAAATGGTGAAATCCTCCTGTAAGATTTGGGGTTGAAAAGAACTGTGCCCCTTGTAGGTTGTGTAACACTTCCTTTATTCTTGGTAACAGGAACTTGTCTTGTTCATATTGATAATTGATCTCACGTAAGTCTCGACATGTTCCTACTTTCTTGAGGAGACCTGTTTGGTCATGTTCACCTGTTGATAACAACGGTAGGTTCACCGTTGTGGGCGTATCGCGTTTGTATATGTGGCGGAATGTGTTTGTGCAGAACAAAGTTGACTTTAGCGCTGACGTTGATTTCAATTGCAAGTACTATGACCGTGGAGCTTGGTAGGTTGCAATGAACATCAGGAGGTATATTCGCATTGGTATCCAGGAGGTCTGTAAGTGACTTTCTGAAACCTTCCTGTTCGTGCTATGGGTCCTCTTCATGTGGTGAGAGGAGCGATTCCCATTTTGCATCTGTTGGTATAAGTGGGTTGATTAACCCTGCTATGTATATACCTATGTATGGTAGAATACCCATACCTAGAAGTATTGGTGTCTTTTTGTCTGGTAAGTCCAATACTTCAAAACACTGAGAGGTCTTCCTACCTCCATGGTTAATATCACAAACTTCAGTTGATCAAGTGCGGTGTATTCTTGCATCTGTTTGTGCTAGTTGTATGTACCCCGGTTGCGCTCGAACAGAAAGATATAGTTCTGATAATACACTTTTGTCCATGCATGAGCGTTGTGCCCCCGAGTCTACTAGTGCATTGTATGTATTGCCATTGATTTGTATGTCAATGTGTAAACGTTGGTCTCGTGGTGCAGGAAGTAAAGATAAGGGTTGATAATTTATATCATTTGCATTTATTAACAACGTTTCTTCATCTGTAAATAAATCGAGTCTGTCAGCCAGGTCAATTTCAGTGCTCATTACCTTCTGTAATGTCTTCCACCTTGTCAGACGTAATGGACAGTCTTGCTATCTGCACATCTTTTTTGGCTCGCTGCTCAGCCTTCTTGGCTTGATTTGTTTTCTTCTCAGGACATTCGCTGTACCTATGTGGTGATGGCATTTTCTGACAACAGGGGCATGCACACTCTTCGCGTGCTCCTTTCTTTTTCTGTGTCTGCCCCCCTTGCCTGTGTTGGTGGTGTGCACCATCATCTGGCTTGTGCCGTTTGTTAGCGTTTGTAGAGTAATCCTCCACCTGCGCGTTTGTCTGTGCGTTATTGCGCTTGTTTGCTGCTCGCGTCTGATCCCGCAACATACGCTCTGCTTGTGTCACAGACGCTGTTCTTATGTGTGTCTCTGTCATAGTATGAAACTTGGTCTGTTCTATGTCAGACAAGTGTCCTTCGCTTGCATCCGGTTGCTTGTATCCTTTGATTAGGATGTCTACAACTGATTGCAATCCACAGTACTTCAGTGCGAGGTAGCTTTGTACTTTGAGGATTTGGAAGTGTATAAGTTCCTTGTCTGAGTTGCGGTAACGCTCCTCTAACATTGCCATTGTCTTATGTACACGTTCTGTGCGCACTTCGACGTTCATCTTCTTATTCTGCATGTCATTGAGGAACTTCTCCAATAGATAGTCTACTGGGTGTGATCTGAGTCGATCAATAATGATTCTATTGAACTGCTGGGGATCGTTGATGTGCCTAGTCGTTTATGTCTCAGAATCTCTTAAGTTATTGAGTACTGATTTGGTTTTCTCCGTTGCATCAGTGGAATCTTATAGTCTTCTCACTAATGCTGGATACTGACACAATGGCATTGACGAAGCTAAGAATAGACCACTACACTGTGTAGTGAACTCTATGATATCTTCACAGTTTTCCATTCTAAAGAAACTTTCCTTAGGCATCTTAGGGAATTCCAGAGTCTTAAGTAATTTCTTAAAAGACGATCGTTTTTATCTGATCGCCTAAACGTGAACGCATGAGCTCTAGCTCACTAATGTACAGACTAATTTGTATGAGTTTGTCTTCCTCATCATCACCACAATCGTTGATCGCTTGGTCATATCATCGGCTGAGTTCCGCATCCACTAGTGGCGTATGGCGCTCTGGCTGTTGGTCATGTATGCCTACCCTCATCTTGTGTAGAGTTGATATGGGCACTGGTGCTGGTTGTTCCAATTTGGATACAAACCGACTCACCAACACGTGATTGCCTTGACAGATATTCTTGTATATTTCTAGACGCATTGCTGATGCTACAATGGGTACCCCCGCCAGTGTAGGCTGGCCCAACTACTGCCTGGGCCTGCCCCCCCCATTGGGCTGACTCCCCCCTCACCCGTGCCTTCACTACCTTCCCCTCCATCATACACGCTTGTTCTGGTTGCTGTTGGCATTTTCAGATGTCTGCGTTGATGTGTGGGTGTTAGTGGAATATCATTAAAGGCTCAGGATATGTTTTGTGCATCAGCGCGCGCTTCACCCCCCGTCTTTTTCATATAAAATAAATGAAATTTGTATTTGTTTTACTTACTGTTATAGTGTTGTGCTGCACTTTTGCTGGAAGTGTTTACTGTGCTGTATGGCCCGATAGCTTGTTGCTTTGTTCCCTGTATTTATGAGGGATAAAAACGGTGTTTGATAGTCAAGCTTATTCCGACACTTTTGCTCATTCCGTCACGTGATAACTTATTGTCACTAGTGTTATTCCGTCATGTGAGAAACTTTTTTCTTATATGTGATCTTAATGAGATGTTTGGTCCTAGTGACGTCACCTGGAGAAGTTCGGTCCTAGTGATGTCACCGGGGAAGTTCAATCCTTTTGACTTCACCTCGTTATGTTCAGTCCACTGGACATGTGTGGTCTTGTACCGAACTGCTTGTGTATGTATGTGGTATCTGTTATATTCGTCCTTATTGACTATACCAGCAATGTACTCTGTTGTACTATACTTACTTGATGTGTACTTTTCGTTTGTGTGCGCTGCTTGTGTGATGTATAGTGCTAGTCCAGCCTGTTGTGCTTTCCGGGTTTCTTTGTCAATCACTGTCTTGCAAATTTAGTCCAATCTCCTGTGTGTGTTGTGTGTGTACAACGAGATCTCTTGAATTCAGATGCTCATCACTTTGTGTCACCTCTGTTGCTATTTCGGTTTGTTGAACTGTAATGCGTAGTGTTGTGTATGGAATAGTTTGTTCCTATCACTGAGTTGTGTCTTGTGATCTTTCCGTGATTTGATCGATCTTAGACTTGCTTTATGATGCGTGTGGGGTTGAATTGTTCCCTTGTCCATCAATGGCTGTCTTTGCCTGTTTCCAACTTATTGTTATTCACTTCTGATGGTGTGTGTGCAATGTATGCTTCTTATGTGCTATGTGGAATGAATTATTCTTGTGCACCATTTAGGTGATCAGACCATGGAATAGATTGTTCCTGTGCCTGATCAGATTCGCGAGATTTGCGTCCTAAATTCTTCTTGTGATATGAGTGTTGTACTTACTATTATACCTTACCATACTGTGCCCTCTTTGTTATTATCGATTAGTTGGTTATGAGTTATATAGCTTGTTGGACACTGATCTCTATTGAGAATTACTTGTATGTAAATTCTCTGTATCTAATGTCTTGTGCCTCTTTATGATAGTTTGACGCGAATTGTGTACTATTTTGCGTCTTGTCTTTGTCTTGTTTATGAATCGATCAATCACTATCACTTGTTTTAACTCTTATTGTTACAATTCCCTAATAAATTACCCCTGGCCTTTTGTTGTTATTCGATATTTGAACCCTCCTCAATCATTTAATCAATGATATGCGCATCTGATTGTTTTTGGAATTCCTTGTTCAATAACCGTATGTATATTCGTGTATGTTTTCTTCTTATTTATTTAGAATACTTTGATAGAAATTGCCTCGTGTTTGTAATTGAGTTGTCAAGTATGTGTACTTATCTACCTAAAGTGAGTATTTCTTGTTTTAAGATCTTACTCATCTTATTTCTTGGTAGTACCCCTTCCTAAGCGAGTATGATTGCTTAGAATGATTAATTGGCAAGTATGATTGTCTAGAATGTTTGGTTATGCTTGATACTCTTGTCCATTCTGTGCGTGGACACTCTTAACATGTTCCTGTCTTTCATGCAATTGGATACCTGAAATTGAGGCTTGAGATTTTGATGTGTACGTTAGTTTTGTACTCATCTCTCTGGGTTCTTGATAGTTACGTTGTTACCTGTTACTATTATGTGGCCCTGCTACGCTAGACTTCTGTCTATAGTGTGTTTCTTGTAAGTATTCTTGCTAATTAACTGGTGATTTTAGCTTCTCAGTACAGAATGTCTTAACAGAATGTCTTATTCTTTTTGAAATTATGATTGAGTGTTGTGCTACCCTTGAACATCACAAGCTAGTTGCTTATGTGTACTCGTCTCAGAGTTAATAATTAAGTATCTATTATGTGCACATGTTCTCAAATGTTGATATGTGTAATGTCTTTGCCTTACTCGTATATCTCACTGTTGTTTGCATTGTCGTGCAGGGTCTCTAAAGCTCAGTATATTTTCTTGTTCGAAAATGGTCTAAAAATCCCCAACATTGATGAATTAATCAACGTGACACTTTTCTAATTTTTGCACTCACCGAGACACTTCTTTGTACTCAATAAAGCTTATCACACCTCGTTAAGTGTCCAACTTACTTCCGGAACACTTCTATTTACCTCAGACGTTGTGCCAAGGTCTTGTTCTTCTTTCTCCTGTTCATCTGAGTTCCAAGGTGTCCTCTTGTCCTTCCGTTGTGGACCTTCTTTCTTCTTCAGAACTTTCTCGCTTCTCTTCGGCCTCTTTCTTTTGTATTAAAGTCTATATCACAATTAAAAATTCTTTATGTCAGGAGTGACTTCTGCTTCTTTTCTTGAACCTATTTTAGTGTGTTAGGATTCTTGTTGACTTATCTAGGTAAGGATATTGTAAAAAAAATGTAAAGTATGGAGAGTAGTTGAAAGGTACGAGACAATGGAATACAATCGACCTCTTCTCAAGTACGGTTATCTCAGCTAGGAAAAGTCCTTAGTCTGAGAGAACCGAACTGAGTCTTTATTCGTGTTTTCACTAGACTCAGGATTTACTTGAGTGTTTCTTTCACACGTGGAAGTTCCAGTATAGCTTACCGGTTCTACCGCTAAAATTTCTGATGACTCTAATATCAGAAATATTCCAATCCTAATTCCAAAACTCAGTATTTGATTATTCTGGGTTTTGGGATTTGTATTGGCTTTTTGATATCTGGTCCCTATATGCTACCCGCAACGCTCTGCTTCCAACTCCGATTGACAAGAAAGAAGTGTGTTGAGATGAGCCTGTAATGCCAAGACTGGGTAGTATGTGTTCGGCATTGTTCTCATATTGCGGGGTGGAGCTGCTATGGCCCATCGGACATCTAGTATTCAGAAATACGTCTACTCCTGTAGCTTCTCATAATCCTTTCCAACCCAGTATAGATGTTCTAGCCTAGTCTGCGCTGCATGGACATATGCCATATGTAGGTATTGTAAGACCCTTACTACTTGCGCCCCTGCTAACGCTTATTGTAATAGTATAGGCCATGGGTCCACCACAAACTATTTCTTTAACTATGTTCAATAATTCATTTCCAAAAGTCTATGTTTAGCTTCGCGGATACTGGTGTCCTCTTTGTTTCCAGTTACTAGAGCATGTGTTAACACATGGTAGTACTCAGTATTATGTACCCGTGGAGTGGCCTTAAAAGTTATAATCTTAGACGTGAAATTATTAAAGAAATCAGTCCGGTTGCTCTTCTGAGAATATTTCAGATTGGATAGAGCTTCTTCTGTCTTTTGCAGTTCGTGTCCAACCACGGTCACTTGCGTAATCTATGAATTACTTTGATATTTCTGAATCGTCATGTATGTATATCTGAACACGCTTATTCAATTCTTCAGCATGTGAATGATGGTTATGTCTTTCGTTGATATCTCTTGCAAGAGAGTGACATCTAAATAATCAGATTCATATTCCGATGAATCAGAAGGATGCTGACCCCATTCATCTGGTATATCCTTAAGGAGTTGTTCTATAGGCATTTATGGGGCAACATAAACTGCCTTCTTTACGGGAATACTTGAGTGTTTAGTTTGTGAAGTTGCAGTGCTTGGAAAAGCTCTAGTCTGCACATATTGCGGTACGTTAGTACCTATCGATTCGCCTGTTTGTCCATCATGTTCGTATGAACTACCACTTAACTGGGTTTGTCATAACTTTTGTAGATCTTCAGTATAATCTTTAGGATGTTATTTATCTTGAACATGTGGACAAATCGTTTTAAAAATAGGGTGATACGGTCTTTTCCCTTCCGATCTATTTTAAGGCAAGACTTTCTCTATATATATTCATGTGCAGAGATTTTCTTGTTCTGCTTACTTTTTTTCTCCAACATATCTGCAATGTCCACTACAGGTTGTGCTCTTTCAACAGATTGCTTCGAGTAATGTATGCACCAGACACTGAATAGAAAGTATCTGGTTATGACTTATCACTAATTGGCATCGAAATACTTCGTTGCTTTGAATGGTAACGATGTGATTCTCCAAGTTTGCCATCATCCCCATCTACATCAGAATTAGGAGCTAGATTAAGATATGCTTTATTCTTCCGTTATGAAATCTCAAGTTCCCGCATGAATTTGAACTGTACGGGTGGCTGTATTTTAGTAGTTAACTGCTGAACTGCACTTTGCAGTATCCCTATTGAATCTAGAGAATCATTAAGAGTCTCAGGATTCCTTATTTGCCCTACGTCTTGCTTATCAGCAAGAGCATTCGCTGACTAATGTGGAGCTTTTGGTAACTCCTGTGGTTCCCTCTTTTTCCCTATAAGATTCAGAGTGTATGTCTTTATGAACAGCGGACTCAGTTTCCTCTATGAGAGCTTCAACTTGCTCTAGTTTAAAGCAACTTCTGAAGTTACTACTACTGTTGAGTTCTTAGCTGAACTAGTAGCATCTTCCTCAGACTTATTACGCGTAAACATAGTATAATAGTGCTTCTCCTACTTCAAGAGAAATGTCCATCGTTTGATCTGAAGCTATGAAGTTTCGTCTATGGTCTTCTTAGGCATTGCTTCCATAAGGATGCTTGCTTCTTCTAGGGCGTTCTCTTTATCCTGCTTTAATTGCAAGATTCTTTGGCTTCCTTATTGGATACTTCAGCTACTGTTTGTTTCCACTGAACTTTGACTCTAATATCATCTTTTTCTTAGGATTAACCTTCTTAGGAGGTAAATTTGATAGCTTGAGCTATATACTTAAGTAGATATATTTAAATATATAGTATTTATATTCTGTTTATTATTTCACATTTTTTTTTACACAGTAGTTCTAAATTTACACATATAAAGTGTGAATTCTTTTATATTGACAGGCAATCATTAAAAAGTAAGTTGGTGATTGTGAATTAGCACGTTTATGCTAATTGTGTATCTACACTTAAAATTTTAATGCTTTTGATCTTAACTTGATTGCAAATAAATATATTTGTAATTTCAAATTTAACATGGAAGTGCAGATTGTCGATCTACACGCACGAGTAAGTATGTTTATAAATGTACACGCTAGTGCACATCAATTCGTCTGATCACTCCTCAGCTACTTTAAGGTATTTTAAAAAAACATGTAAATCGTATACCTACGATATCGGGAACAGACAATTTATTCAAATAAAGTAAATAACACAATTTTCATTATTATAACCCATTGCCATATCCTCAAACACAGCGATTCCGGCCCGCTAATGTGCTACAGCGCATTGTCAGGTAATGAAGAACGTGTTGAGGAGATGCATAAGGAGGATGAGCTGGACCTGGTTGAGGAGCATATTCTACCGAGGATTCCAGATGTGTTAGCACCAGTGGAATTACCGGTGGGTGATATAGACCCGGGCAAGATGTGTAAGGACTTTCAGTCGTTTGATGAAGGGCCGTTGCGAGCGTTGAGCAAGGATATTGGAGTTCCGCAGGCTGACATTGAAGCCATGGTGGTAGCTATAAAGTCTATTGCGTATGACAAAGATAACCCGACATTTGTGAACTTGCCAGATGTTGAGCTGCGGGTGCGTACTGATGCGGTACCGCTACCATATGTACAATTACAAGGATATGGATGCTCAGGAGGTCCTAAAGGTTAAGATTGGTGATTGGAATCGAGGTGGTATCTCGGAGAAGTTGACCAAATCAGAGGTGAAGAATATGAAATGGTGTGCCATGCCATATTTGGTATATAAAAGCCTGGCTTTGTTCCAATGACTGCTGATGATTGGCGGCTATTTATTTACTTTAAGAAGACTAATACGTAGTTTGAATGTGAGGCGTACCCGGTACCGACAGAGAGACAGTTCTTGTCTTCAGTTGGACTTAGGGGGCGCAAGTATCGTACTGTTGTCGATCTTGGTCAGGGCTTCTATCAGCAGAAGTTGAGTAAAGAGTCGCGGAAGTATACCACCTTTTGGACAACATTGGCTGTTGTACAGGTCTCCGATGAAGGAGATGTCGTATGAGTATCGACAGGCGCTTGGTCACCGATTGCGGTGCACGGCGATGGCTTATCGCTGGGCGGATGAGAAGAGTTTATTTTGTTATTTATATATAGAGTGGTAATAATGTAGTATTTGACACATACACGTATGCCAATGCAACGATCTACTGCACTATATTTTGTCTATTATGTATGATGATCGTATGGAAGTATTTGGCACATGCACGTGTAGCATAAGGAAATAAGCTCGGATCTATGGCTGCGTGATTTAAATTGGAGTACTGCGATGTACACGGATGTGCTAATGTAATTAAAACACTATGTCGTTGTAAATACACAGTTGGAACATGAAAATCAATACTTAAATATCTCAAACGGGCCACTCGATGCCGACTTGATAAACCCTTCACATCGATTATGGGCCATAATGAGCACTTATGAGGCCCAATTGGCGATATCATACTATGGAGTACATAGGACTTCTCCAACAACGACTGAGCAGGTGGCAAGATACGCATGTCTATGCAAAATACATTCCATAGTTTGCTTTATGAACCGAGCAGTACGTCTCAGTAGTAGGCTTCAGCTAGTATCCCTGCTACAGGCATTCTCGCGTGAGAAATACATCACAAATACTATATATATATATACTCCACTTCCGATGCCCATGTAGAGTCCCCAGATCTCTACATCAGAACGGGAGGATCGGGTTTATTTCGTCAGGTATGCCTTCAATCCAGACAGACCCACTTTTGAAACAAAATGTTCACTCAGACTCCTGGGGTCGGACGTGTCGTTTGGCGCTTACTGTCGCTTCCCTCGTGCTCATCACCATCGTCCTCGCGTTTCCTTTTCCTGTTACTATCCGCTAATATATCTGTAGTTGTATCTAGCTTATGATCATGACTTGTACCCTTTACATTCTGGTCACCAAGTGTTCCGTTTGCGTCACTGATCCTCCCAACATCGCCCGTGCCATTTACACTACTATCAGTGCCGAGCCCACTCCCCCTGGCAAGTGTACCGGCATCTGTGCCAGCCCCAATTCCCGCACCCTCCATTCCAGCAGTATTACTGTCCTTATTCTCTATCCCACCAACCGCTATAATTGGGGTAGTATCTATCTCCGGCTCATTCAGCTGGACTAAAGCAGCTTGCGGGTCTATTAGCCCCCCAGCCAGGCTCCCGCTATTCGCAGAGGGTATGGTATCGCCCATACCCAGTACATTGCCCAGGTTCGGTTGCAGACTCATCCCAGGCGTGAGACTTAAGTCCCCACTCATCCGCGCACCGATCAGATTCGGGTAGGTCGCTTGTGCAGTGGTTGTAGCTGAGCTGGCCAATAGCAGCCCTGTTTGGACGCCTCACGGGAGAACAGTGAGAGTAATTGGTCGGTTGAGGATTATATACGTGTGTTTGTGTGTATGTATGTATAGTATACGTGTGTTTGTGTGTATGTATGTATAGTATACGTGTGTTTGTGTGTATGTATGTATATACTTTATAAATTTATCCGCATGAGAGGTGGACAACAGGCCGAGAGATGCGTTGCAAGCTGACAAAAGTATCGATATACCACAGATGTGGTTCCTGCTATTTTCTACTACCGTATTGCATTAGCGTAGCCACACATGTCGGGCTGTATCCTTTCATCACCAATAGCACGAGCTGCGAAACTCGGACACACACGACACCCCTCACAGACACGTTCACATGTTCATGTTCCACTCCACTGTGGATATCAACCGTACTAAGCAATAGTGCCAATACACTACACCTATATAGTTTCAAACCAGTCAGCACAACTCGCTTACCTGCCCCAGCGTCGCTCTTGGGCATCGCGAGGTCGAAATTCATACCCAGACCACCCGTACCCACCGCACCAAGAGTTGCCGGTGTATTCATACTCGCACCCGTCAAGCTTGCTGTACATATCAGATGTAAGACGAATCGAAGTATATTGAATGCTGAATAAACTCGCTTATTAGGATCAGATATAGAACAAATTCAACTATTTGGCATTTTGAATGTTCTGCTTCACGTGTATTAAACATGGTCCACACCACCAAAACTCTGAAACCCTAAACTCGTCTCTGTCTATGAAATTACTCCAGTCAAGGAATCTACTGACATCATGGCACGACAAATAAAAAGTAATGCAACGGGAAAACTCATATATACACCTCGTGTTATACCCAAAGAAGGGTCATCTTATTCTAATATCGGGGTAGAAAAAGGACAATGAATTGATCGAAGAAAATAGAATGTGTGTATTCTGCGTCATCCTTGCTGACGAAATGGATATTGAGTAAATTGTACGGTTGCTTTTACACCTGTGTGGATTGACAGCAATGAGATATATACACATAAATATACGGATATATACACATATATATATACGGATATATACACATAAATATACGGATAAATACACGTATAAATATACAGATATATACACATAAATATACGGATATATACACATAAATATACAGATATACACATACATAAATATACACATACACAAATATACAGATATGCACATGTATAAATATACAGATATATACAGATATAAATATACAGATATGTACACCTTTAAATATACAGGTATACACATACATAAATATACAGATATGTACACGTATAAATATACAGATATATACAGATACATAAATATACAGATATGTATACATATAAATATACAGATATACAGATACATAAATATACAGATATGTACATATATAAATATACGGGTATATACACTTAATAAATATACAGATATGTATACATATAAATATACAGATAGACGCATACATAAATTTACAGATATGTACACATATATCTTCCGGAGTATCTGGTAAGCCAACCGCCCAAAACCCAAAACACTAACCTACCACCTCGATTTTAAAACATACCTAAAAATGAATCGGAGACGGGGAGTGGCGGCTCCGGTTTTCGCACACACAGTGTTGAAAAGTGCGAGTCGATTCCCCCGTACATCATAGCCATCACCGTAGGTATGCACATGTGAGATTCCAAGGCTTGTGTTAAACGCTCATCTGACAGAACACTGTCGGTGTGCAGGTGCACAGACCCCAGAGACGGCAGATTCATTGGCAGGTCTGGAAGTGCGGGTGTGATGTTTGGTGCGATATATCAGTAGACTGGTCATATACGAGACTGATAGTACGACTGATAAGATACTATATTTATAGTACGACTTATAAAATACTAAAATTAATAGTACGATTTATACGATACTAAATTGATAGTACTACTTATACGATACGAAATTGATAGTACGACTTAGAAACAAAGATACACATGCTAGTGTACAGACTGGGCACGAATATCACTCTTAAATCAACACACCATCTAGTAGAGGTAGCCACGTTTGAACAATGATAGCGTGCTGGTGGCGATACGAGACTAATCGTGCGCTACAGTTGTATGGGTATTCATCCCAGTGATACATAGCTATCTATATATCTGATACAACCCAGCATCATGTATCTAATACAACCCAACATCATGTATCTATATATCAAATACAACCCAACATCATGCGCGCCTACACATACAATACATACGTTTCTTCACCCGCAGCTTCCCTGCCCGGCCGACCTTTACGTGCAAACTAACATCGCAGAGCTAATATGCCACATGCTTGTACTGTGCATATACAATGGTATATGCGTATGTCCTATGCTTGTACTGTGCATTTACCATGCTCCATGTGTATGTCCTATGCTTGTACTGTGCATATACAATGGTATATGCCTATGTTCTATGCGTATGCCCTATGCTTGTACTGTGCATATACAATAGTACATGTGTATGCCCTATGCTTGTACTGTGCATATACAATGGTATATGCGTATGTCCTATGCTTGTACTGTGCATATACCATGCTATATGCGTATGTCCTATGCTTGTACTGTGTATATACCACGCTATATGCGTATGCCCTATGCTTGTACTGTTCATATACCATGCTATATGCGTATGTCCTATGCTTGTACTGTGCATATACCATGCTATATGCGTATGTCCTATGCTTGTACTGTGCATATACCATGCTATATGCGTATGTCCTATGCTTGCACTGTGCATATACCATGCTATATGTGTATCCTACCATACGACATCGTGATCCCCTACACACCATACATACGTTTCTTCACCCGCAGCTTCCCTGCCCGGCCAACCTTCACGTGCACACCGAACACAGTGGGTGCTGTGGGGTGGCGGCAGCTTATAGCCAACACAAAAGGCAACGGCGTCGACACATCGAACATCAACGCGGCTGGTTTGGGTTTCAGGCAGTTCTGTGTAGTCGAATTCCGGATCTCCGCATCTATTTATAGTTCATATAAGAAGAATAGAAGAAAAATGTGTGTGTGTGGGTGGGGGGGGGTAGGTTTTGGGGGACCAAAAATAACAAGCAGTATGTTCAACCGGCAAAGGTGTCGATGAACCGAACACCACCGTTCTGTGCTTGTTTTCATTCAGGCCGATTCGGTGTTTTCAAGTTCCGAACTTCGGCAATACAATATTCGAGTGCATGAGGGGGGGGGGGGGCGCATAGGGTTATGCTGTGTGGTTGAGCTAGATGCTAGCTCTGATATCAAACGGAAAACAAGGCTGAACCCCAAACTTACACATCTAGATATCCGAATATATATATATATGTGTATACCCGAATATATGTGCAGACACAAACAAAACAAACAAACCAAGATATATGGACGTTACATACACAGAATCCAATACACACGTCCGCACTATTCCGAGCAACTAAAGCGCTACAGAGCACGCACATCATTGCCTATAGCACGCTCCAGTGCACACACGCGCACACCTTTATCCGTAGCCCGGACGGTGATGATGCTTTTAAACAGTGTGTTAAAAGTAGTCTGTTGCCTTAGCAACTGCACACACGGTAGGATCTGGCTGGTGCTGGTGAACGGGATACGGTAAACCGTACATCCCGCATGCCGCTTAGTCAACGCCAGGCTGTATTTGTGAGTCTGGCCTAGTTTCACCTGTGAAGGAAGAGTGGGCCGAGCCTTGTGAGTGCCTTTGTGTACTGGCGGAGACATCGGGGGTTGCACGGGCCGGAAATCAGACACACACGCGTGAGTATATGCACACACACATGTATAGGTACATGCACACACATATGTATAAGTACATACACACACACACGTATATACACACGTATAAGTACATGCACACACACGTATTCACACATATATAAGTACAGGCATACGCTTGTGTATAAGTACATGCACACACTTGTGTATAAGTACATGTACACACATGTGTACAAGTATATGCACACACGCGCGTGACGCGTAGAGACGTCGAGATTAGAATAGCAGAAGATAAATACAACACGCACAGAGAACACAGGGGTGGCAGGTTAGTATCTCTAGGCACGCATATCTTGCGAGTGATTGTGCAGAGTTGTAATGAGTCATGGCAGGCTCACCCTTAACAGCCCCAGAGGTGCCCTACAGGCCACAGTGTATGGCAATACAAACAATACTATCGGTCTATACTATCGGTCTGGTAGGCACACCGTCCGGCTGAGCCATGCACAGAAACACCCCCACGGGTACATTCAGAAACACATATAGTGGACAATACCGTATGAATGTGTATTGGTATACGTGCATGAGTGTATAAGTGCTGACAAGGTCAACCCATCAAGCATAAGGTAACCAACAGCTCGACGATATGTATGAATTTCTCCATGGACATCTCTAGACATGTATATCTATACAGACATGCATACATATATACATACATACATACATACATACATACATATATATATATATACATACATACATATATACATACGTACATACATACATACATACATACGTACATCATACATACATACATACATACATACATACATACATACATACATACATACGTACATACATACATACATATATATATACATACATACATACATACATACATACATCCATATATACATACGTACGTACATACATACATTCATTCATACATACATATATACATACACACACGACCACTTTCTATATTAATACCATCTACTTGTCTCACTGGGTCAGCCAGTTGTGTATAGTCTACTACACACACGCCTACATGGAACACACAATACAAAATAGATACTTCCATACACATAAGTGTATACACATGCCCATTTGTTCCTTTTTCTAACCCACTGAGCGTCTAATACAAATCTACCTACTTGCTTTATAATTCTACCTACTTGTTTAATAATTCTACCTACCTGTTTCATCATTCTACCTACTCGTTTTATACTTCTACCTACTTGTTTATAGGATTGGTCAGTGAGTTGCTGGGACTGGTCGTGCACTTCGCGTGTGAGCAATTGGTCCAGCGTGACAGTGTTCGAGTCGGTTGCATTTCTAAATCGTTTCAACGTGTCGACTCCTGTGTATGTGTGCACGTATGCAATTCATGTTTATGAGTCCTGAATTATTTTCGTGCGTACGTTCGTGAGAGTTGCTTTTAATGTGTGTGTGTGTGTGCGTTTGTGAATGTGTATGTGTATGTTTATGGATATGAGCATGAGTATGAGTGCGAGCATGTGAATGTGCATGTGTTTCATTTGGTGTATGTGCGCGTGTATATGTATGAATATGTATGTTTGTATGTATGTCCTATGGTATGTGTGATCTACGTCTATAACCACTACCACCGCGCAAACACGTAGACTACACCGTTGTCGGCATATCAACACTTGGCGAGCATTTGGCTAAACCACATACATACACAGACCAATCTGTATATATAAAATGAACATAAGTACGCTTACTATAAGCAAGCTGTGCCTGATATACATAATATATAAATTACAAAATTAATATTAATATATATATATATATATATAATATAAATATGTAAATAT